TGGTCATCCCTGTAGGTCCAACTTGTGAAGATTATGCACTTCAGGTAAGACTACAGACATTTAAAGTGTATAGTAACTTGTCGTGTATGCTCTGTAGGTCATTGACTTGAAGTGTCTTCCATGTTGAGGGTAATGTCTAACTAGCGTGTGGATGACAGCCTGTGCTTTGAGTCGTTGACGTTGGCAGAGCTTCGTCAGAAGTGCTTTCTTGATGCTTTGGAGAAATGGGTGCTGTTGAACACTTCCCACTTGCTCTTTCCCATGTCTCTTTACTGGGGAAGAAACCTTGTTATCTGCAGCTTTTAACAACAGATGTTTATTACCTTACTTTCAGGGGAGAGGTCAAGAGTGGGAGCAGCCTAGCTGGGTGGTTCTATTTTTAAACTTTTTTTTAAAAAAAATATTTATTTATTTAGTTTGTTTTGTTGTTGTTGTTGTTTTGTTTTGTTTTTTAAGACAGGGTCTCTATGTAGCACTGGCTGTCCTGGGACATAGACAAGGCTGGCCCTGCCTCCTGGGTGCTGGGATTAAAGGCATGTGCCACCACACCTGGCTCATTTATTTTCTATGTACGAGTGTCTTCCTGCCTGTCTGTATGTGTACCATATTTGTGCCTGGTGCCTGGAGAGTTTAGAAGAGAATACCAGAGCTCCCGGAATTGGGAGAAGCGGGTATTGAGCCATGATGTGTGTGCTGGGAACCAAATCCAGGTCCTCTGCAAGAGCAACACTCGCTCTTTACTGCTGAGCATCTCTTCAGCTCCCTAGCTGGCTGGGTCTAGCACGGCATCTCCTGAGGCTGCAGCTAAGGACACAGGCACCATGCCCATGTGTGAGCTGCTTCTCAGGCTGTTGTAACGCCCTCCGGAACAAGGGATCTGGAGAGAGTCATGTGGCAGGCTTTGCCTACCTAGATTTAGTAGTAATGTGCCCTCTTTTCCACGCCTCTCTGTGACTCCCATAGACCAAGTCTGAACAAAGTGGCAGTCGCTGCACAGGGTGTTAGTACTAGGAGATGGGCTGCTGTGGAGTCTGGCTACCATAAATGACAGAATGACAGAGATCCCTCCTTCTTCTAGGTGTCCAAGGAATGCTTTGAAGAAGGCTTTATGGCCGATGTGGACTTAGATGACAGTTGTACACTGAATAAGAAAATCCGGAATGCACAGCTGGCTCAGTATAATTTTATTTTGGGTAATTTAAACTCATGCATTTTTTTCAGATGCTCGACTTGGGGCTTTACTTAAAGAAAAAAAAAAGGAGGAATATGGTGTAACCACTTACCACAAATTGACTGTTGAACTGTGGTGCATGAAGAAGTGTCCTGCAGCTCCACGTGGAGCCCACAGTGCAGCGTCCCTAGCTCCACATGCACTCTGTGGCACAGCATCCCTAGCTCCACATGCACTCCGTGGCACAGCGTCCCCAGCTCCACATGCACTCCGTGGCACAGCGTCCCCAGCTCCACATGCACTCAGTAGCACAGCGTCCCCAGCTCCACATGGAGTCCAAGATGCAGCGTCCCTCACAAAAGTAAACATTTAAGCCCAAATGGAGACAGACGCCAAGATAACTTCTGCAATGGGATTGCACTGCTTCTACCGCCCCGAATGCAAAGCCCAGATGCTCCCCTTTGATTTTCTGGTTTATTAGAAGCTTGGGTTAACTATGTAGATGTAGAAAGATTCCACGTTTTAAATGATCAAAAGAAAAGATGAATACATAACATTATTAGAGACATGAAATTGGGCACAAAGTCCAAAAATTTGGCTTTAAAAAATGAAACAAATGAAAATCAACCATGAGAAACCATGAGAAACTGATTCTGACGTGCCTAGAGGTGTGGTATGGCTATGTCCTGAAAGTTAAAAGGTTCTGTAGCAGAAAGAAAAGAGAAAATGCCCGAGTTCTTCTGTCACTGGGTGTTCCCTGGGGAAGTTTGCCTTGTAGAACTGAGATGTTTCCATCGGGCTTTTTGTTGTGTTAGAAATCTCGTATTATCTGATTGGAAGGGAACCAGAGTGACGGCTGACAGAAAGGTGGGACTCAGAGCCAGGCTACTGAACGAGTAACCAGGAGCTCAGCCCTCGCTAGGACCGCGTCTCTCCGTTTCTGTTCTGGTTTGCTCTGATCCTTTTTACTTTTAAATAGCTTCTAATTCCACTTAACAGTTTCTTCTTCCTGTGTGGAAAGAAACATGGATACTGATTCCTGCATCTTCTCACAGTGTGGGTTACTAGAGAGAACAGGCTTTCCCCCACATTCTAGAGAATTCTGGTTGGCTTGCCTGGATCCAGCCACATGATATTTCCTTGGAATCACTAAATAGGATAGGAACAATCAGATGTCCATAAACACTCCCTTCCCATTTGTGTCCCAAGACCACACAGTGTATTCTGGAGTAGACAGGAGATGGGCTTAGACACTTAACTACTGAGGGAGACCCTGATGCTCACTAGACTGAAATTGAGTAAGTAATATGGAGGGGGAAGTCAGGTGTGTATCGAATGACTGTTAACTTAATGGTTGGTAAATCATTAATTTTAAAAATGTTTCTTTTACTTTCTTTTCTACAGTGGTTGGTGAAAAGGAAAAGATAAATAATGCAGTCAATGTTCGAACAAGAGACAACAAAATTCATGGAGAAATTTCAGTAGCTTCTGTCATTGAAAAATTGAAGAACCTGAAAAAATCACGCACTCTAAACGCTGAGGAAGACTTCTGAAGCCTGTTCCTTGTGCGTCTACATTTTCCTAACCACTTACAATATTAGTACTCTAAGAACCTTGGGGCCACCGGTAGGCCTTGAATGAGTTCACCTAGAAGTAAAATGATTATTTGATATATTCAAATTTTTAATTCATTGTGTTCTGAGACTAAATAGGAGAAGCTGGAGAAATTCACAAGAGCTCAAGACTTCAGAGAACTCACTGGCAAATGGTATTCATTAGAAGAGGGAAACACTAGTGAGAAGTATCAAAAATTATGCTGTGTTCTTTTTCAAAAGACATGCTTCCAGCTTGGGGGGCTATAGGTTTGTGACTAGAGCATCTGCCTGGCGTGTATGAGGCCCTGGACCCCATCCCCAGCCACGACCACCTCTCACCCAACAACAAAAATATACTTTAAATAAAAGCCCACGGTCCCTTTTGAACATGGGGTTGGGGATCTTATTTTCTAATATACATGTCTCAGGTATTTTTATGGCTGTTTTACTAAAGTTTGCACTGAAATTTCACTTCCAATATTGGAATTGTTACATCGTTTAGCCGGCAATGATAAGAGAAGTACTAATATTGTGTTAGTGGCAATGGACTATGAACCTCAAAGAAATTTTGTGGAATCTGTTATTTGCATTGTAGGTTAAGAGTTGCAGTTTTAATGCTTCTAAATTATAATTCCTTATTTATCGTTAGAAAAAAATAAAGTCCCAAATAAAATGCATCACGTGGTGTTCCTAGGACCTCTACAGTGTATATGCCATGCTAGGTTGCTTTGCTAGGGTTGGATTACTGCTTTCATGGGGTGTTTCACTTATTTGCTGAATCAAGTGTATTTCTGACTTTTTTTTTTTTAATTAGACAGGGTCTCAACTATATAGTCCTAGCTGGTCTGGAACTCAGAGATTTGCCTGTCTGTGCCTCTGGACTGTATTTCTGATACTTTTTATTTTATTTTATTTTGTGTGTGTGTGTGTGCGTGCGTGCGTGCGTGCGTGCGTGCGTGCGTGCGTGTGTGTGTGTGTGTGTGTGTGTGTATGACTGTTTTGTTTGTATGTCTGTGCACTTCAGGAGTGCCTGGTGCCTGCAGAGGCCACAAGAGGGTACCAGATCCCTGGAACTGTATGGATGGTTGTGAGCAGACACGTGGTGTGGGGAATCGAACCTAGGTCCCCCGAAAGAGCAGCCAGCGCTCTTGACTGCTGATTCACTCTCCAGCCCCTGTATTTCTGATTTTAAATGAAAGGATTTAATTAGGTCCAAACTGTACTGTCTTGGAACCTAATTAAAACAGCTTTATGCCAAAGAGAATTTAGTCACAAATTTATTTCAGTAGATGCTGCAGACTTCAAATTAGATGCAGAAAGGAATCTGTCTTTAACATATTAATCATCTATCTTCCTGGGAACGTGAAGAATGAAGCTTAAGTTAGTGTCATAGATGAGATCAGTGTGATGGTGTAGAGTGGAAATTGTGACGATTTTTAAAGCTAACATTTATTTCGGGGTTTGTTGAATGCCAGACACCATTTCATGTAATTTTTCATTTACCAGATGTGCAAGTGGGAAAATGGGTAGTTTGAGGACCCCAAAGTGCAGGTCAACAAAATACAGGCATAGAGAAGAGAGGCAGATCAATAACATGTTTCCTGAGGTATGAGTGATGGAAACAGTGCAGGTCAATGCGAGCAGCTCTCCTCTCCATGGTTGGTGGTCTCTCATGGTTGGTGGTCTCTCATGGTTGGTGGTCTCTCATGGTTGGTGGTCTCTCTTGGCCGGGCAGGGCTGGGACTCTCTTAACATGAAAATCCCAAACCCTTGGCTCTTGTCCCAGGCCCCTGAGGCCTGACCTGCTTTTCCCAGTCTCAGAGGAACTGTATGAACCGCATGTCTCCTCAAAGTTAGACTGGTGAAACCTAAAGCAGGCTCCTGGTTCCTGGCGCCTGCGACCCCAGCCACCTGTCCCTCTTGGAGCTACTTCCCTAGCTGCACTGGCCAGCAGAAATAGAATGGGTTAACATTCCCACCGTCTCCCAGACGCCCAGTGGAAAGAGAGGGACGCCTCTTCAAAAGGCGTGAGGGCAATTCAGGTCCGAGCCACCTCTTGCCGCTGCGGGGCCCCAGTTCCACTCAATTCCCCTGACCAACAGCACTCAGGTTTGCCATGGCTGAGATGCCACCCAGCATCGGTGCAGAGAACCTGCGATGCCCGCGGGCGGAGCCCTGCAGCAGTGCGCCTGCGGGCCGCGCCCGGCCACGCCCCCTCCGGCCCTCCCCGCAGCCCCGCCTCCTGGCCCGGAAGTGCGCACGCGCACCGGCAAGATGGAGGCTGCGGCGGAGCCGCTGCGGTCTGTCCGCCGTCTGTCCCGCGTGCTGCTCTTCCTCTCCCAGTGCTACATTCTGTCGGGCGATGGTGAGTTCAAGGCCGGGGGCTGCACCGGGCGAGCTGGTGGCACGAGGGCCCCAGGACCCGCGGGAGGCCGGCGACAGACGACCGGGCGCCGCAGCCCTCCGGGCCGAGGCCGCGCAGCCGGCCCAGAAAGCCCGGTGTTCCCTAGCGGAACCCGAGTCGACCTGGTTGTTTCCGTTTCATGAACCGTATCTGCCCTGCGCAGCCCCTACCTGTTAAGCACACAAACCAAGGGTACCATATCCCAGGATAACGTGTTTCTCTAATTGTAGGATCCTTAAATTTAGAGCATTCGCAGCCGCTGGCTCAGTCAATAAAGGATCCGGGCCCAACACGCACATTCACAGTAGTCCCCAGGGCAGCAGGTACTAGACGTTTTCTATTCTAGTAAATGTGCATATTTATATCGAGTAGGTTTCCCTCTTCTCTCTGTTTTCGATAAACGTTTCTTCAGTATCCGAAGTCACCTTTTGATTTTAGCTATTTGATGTGTTGTTGTTTAGATAAGTAAATTAGGGGCAGATAGCCGCTTTCAGTGGACCGTTTTGATATTGATACCTTTTTGAAATCTACGACTCACCTCTTCATCCTGCTCCACGCTCCTCATTTCTATTTATTATTTCCTGCTGTCTCCTAGTTCCTTAACCACTGCTGTTTTCCTTTGCATTAAAAAAAAAAAAATCTACAATGCCTCCCTATTGCTGTGCATACACAGGGATAAGAAGGGCCGGATAAATACCTGGAGTATAACCCGGGTGGGGTCGGGCTGTTGGGAGTTTGAGGCAATTACGCTCTAGGACCTTCGTTTCCTCAATCTTTCAGGCCACTGTAGTTAGCATGACCTATGGTCATTTCAGTTTTGCCATTTGAACCGTTCAGCCTCAGGCCACATGGAAATAGGGACAATAGGGGGAAATGATATTTTATAGAGTTGGCCATGTTAGGGCAGTTTTCAAGTATTCCTGTTTTGCTAAACGGATGCTGGTCCTGTAGGTTCATCTCTTTGAAGTTCCATTATTTTGGTGACTTGGACTTGAAACTGGCAGAGGTAGTTCACGATTTTTTGTTGTTGTTGTTGTTGTT